TGGAACTTTGCTCCTCACCCAGTTCAAGAAAACCCTCAAACCTCATACCCTGGCCGTACACAGGAACTGGTTACCCTGTAAGTGGGTCGATGCCACGAACATGTGCTTTAGGTAACGCGGGGCAGACGAGAGGGGCTTTTTTTTACGCCCGGCACTGCAGTTCGCTGCCGTGAGGTGTGGGGATCGAACCCAGGCCATAGCAATAAACTCTGGCCGGCGTCGAGATGTCATCGTCGTCCACCACAATCTCTTCATCTATCTGCTCCTCTGAATCCTCGGCAGGGGCGGATCTAAGCCACGGGCTGCAGCTCGGTGCGTGGCCCAAAAATCTCTTTAATAGGTCCTTTGCTCAGCCCAAGATAGCCCATAAAAATTATACATTTAGCCTTGCCCGACGCGGTCCAAAAGTCCCTTACACTATTTTTAGCGCCCCCCCCCCAAACTGTTTCTGGATCCCCGCCACTCCCCCCAAAGCTGTTTCTGGATCCCCGCCACTGATCCTGGGAATCAGAATTTCTTGTCGCGTATAACCTCGATGAGTTACCTTCCACACCATGCATCAGCTTTGGTTTGGATCGGAGCATGCCGCCAGTCCGCCACCACCGATGCCACGGTATAAGAATATAGAGAAGGCGATGCCACAGCTGCCAGATAACTACTGCTACTATATAATATAAAAGTATAGTATTTAATTTCTCCAACAACGACAGTGCGTTGGCGCATTGATAAGTTCTGTGTCATCACATCCTTCGTTTTATATTCTCTGTTCCAAATTATCTGTGGCTTTTGATTTCCGTGCCATAAATTTAACTCGATTTAGGTAACACGGAACAGATGAGTTTTTTTTAACTGCGTGGGGGATCGAACCCAGGCCATAGCAATAAACTCTGGCTGGCGTCGAGATATATATCATCGTCGTCCACAACAATCTCTTCATCTATCTGCTCCTCTGAATCCTGGGAATCAGAATTTCTTGTCGCCTATAACCTCGATGAGATACCTTCCACACCGTGCATCAGCTTTGGTTTGGACTGGAGCATGCCGCCAGTCCGCCACCACCGATGCCACGATACAAGAATATAGAGAAGGCGATGCCACAGCTGCCAGATAACTGCTACTACTATATAATATAAAAGTATAGTATTTAATTTCTCCAACAACGACAGTGCATTGGCGCATTGATAATAGCCTCTGTGTCATCACATCCTTCGTTATATATACACACACTATATTCAGGGGGTGTTTGGTTCTTTAGTCTCTCCTAAAATTCATGTCACATTGAATGTTTAGATATTAATCAAGAGTATTAAATATAGATTAATTATAAACCAATTACATAGATAGAAGCTAATTTGCGAGACGATTTTTTTAAGCATAATTAATCTGTTATTAGCACATGGTACTATAGCATCACGTTGTCAAATCATGAACTAATTAGGCTTAAAAGATTCGTCTCACAAATTAGTCGCAAGTTATGTAATTAGTTTCGTAATTAGTCTATATTTAATATTTTATGCATGTGTCTAAACATTCGATGTGACAGAAATTTTAGAAGTACTGTAGTAACCAAACACCCCCTCAGTTAGCTAGGATGAAATAAACCACAGTACGTAGTCTTTTCCCATCCTTTTTGAGCAAGCTACTAGCTAGCAGCCTGCTCGGGAGGCCGTATCGTATCGTGGATTATTTACTGCTGGCTGGTTTGGTGTGAGAGAAAAACACTATTCCCGACTGAAAATTTACGATCGTTTACAAGCAAGTGAATAGGCTGTAGGACTGCGGCGCTGTAGCTAGCATGTGGAGGCTCAAGATCGGCGAGAGTCCGAGCAACCCGCTACTTCGGTCGCCCAATTTTTAGATAATGGATAAAACAAATATCCGGCCTCTACATCCAAGGATGTACACAGCCCATTATTACAAAGTTTTGGATGAAAAAAAATGAGAAAGCCATAGTCTTATAGATCGATCAGGACACTAGTTCAAACAATATAAATGTTTCCATCCTTTATTGGATATCTCTAAAGCAATAATTTCCAATTTCTTGCTCATCGTTGAGAGCGCGTCCTTGGCTGTGTCATCACGCTGCAGCTGGGCCCAAGAGCGTAACCAGTACGCTCCTCTGAAAATTACCTGCATAATAGAGTTAGATTTCATTTGATTAAAAACAACATCATTACTGCATCTCCAGATAGCCCAAAACATGACAGCCATCCCCACCCAAATCAAATTTCTAATCCTTTTATTTTGATTGGTCAGCCAACTACCAAACATGTGGCTGATTGATCTAGGTTGGGTCAAACTAGTAGCAAAAAAGATAATCCTCCAAATCATTTTGGTAAGGGGACAGTCTAGGAACAAATGTTGGATAGTTTCATTTCCATTACAGCAGATGCACTTTTGACTCCCCTTCTAATTTTTCTTAGCGAGGTTGTCTTTGGTTAAGACGACACCCCTTTGCAAAAACCAAAGAAAGATTTTAATTTTTAGAGGAATTTTTATCTTCCAGATCTTCCTATGACGAAAAGGTGTTTGTGTATCTATAAGATAGAGATACATTGAGCGGACAGAGAACAAACCTGATTTGGTTAAACTCCATCTAAAGTAATCCGAACCTTCCACCAATGCGACATTTGAGATCCGTGCTACTAAACTAAGCCATTCTGTAAGTTTATTATCCACCAGAGCCCTTCTAAAAGAGATGTTTAGTGGGTTAGTAGTCATCACTTTTAAGACTGTTGCATGAGGTTCCCGCACTATATTATATAAAGATGGATATTTAACTTTCAGAGGCTTATCTCCTACCCATGTGTCGTCCCAAAACCTAGTGTTGGTTCCATCTTTAATATCGAATGAACCGTTAGCCAGCACCTCATCTTTGATATGCATGAGGCCTCTCCAAAAATGAGAGTCATTGGGTTTGGCTGCCACCTGAGCTAGGCTCTTAGAGGTTAGGTATTTATTCCATAAAAGAGATTGCCATATGCCTTCTGTGTTTAGAAGATTAACCAGCCATTTGGCTAGAAGGCATTTATTTTGCAATTGTAAATTTAGGATACCTAATCCTCTTTGGTCCTTTGGACGACAAAGGATGTCCCATCTGGCAAGGCGATATCTATGTTTATCAGAGGAGCCTTGCCAGAAGAACCTTGATCTATAATGATCTAGGTTTTTAATGACCCCCTTAGGGATCTCAAAGAAGGACATCATAAATATAGGTAGGCTACTTAAGACTGAATTAAGCAGAACTAGTCTACCCCTATATGACAGGTATTTTGCTTTCCAACAAGAGAGTTTGTGTTTGAAACACTTCGGTCGCCCAATGGCTTCCTTGGGCGAGTGGTGTGGGAGTTCGACCCCGCCGCAGGCACGCCGAGGTGGAGAAGCTGCGGCAGGAGTACACCGGCAACCGCTTCACGCAACGGCAATGCAGTGACCTTCTCATGCGGATGCAGGAAAGTACAGTACATGCATGTTTGTTATTGCCTTCTTCGATCGTTCGCGTCATCAGTGGATTGTTTGCAAAACTACCATCCCTTGCTATCCTGCAGCGGATTATTTGCCGGTGCCTCGCTAACAACGGTACAATATAGCCACTCACAACGCACGCACGTCTTCGAAGATGCTTATAGAGGTAGGGTTTATATGCGTGCGTTTTGCTGTTGACGACAACGTCGCTTATTACTGAAAACACAACGATATTAAATTAAATTCTGAAATATTCGCTCACAATCCCATAGGGAGTCAAACCTAGGCTACTGACCTCGTCTTCTCAATGAACAATGATTATCACCGAACGATCCGTTGTCAAGTGCTGTTCAACATAGTAACACCAGACCGTGTGGTGGGTTACGTCGATCGATGTACATGGTGCCAAGTTTTTTTTTAGAAAAGGGAAATGGTGCCAAGTTGCTGTGTGCATAGATCAACTGACGACGATATGCGGATTGTACGGCATGTATGTTGTTTCCTCACTGCCAGACGGTCGGGTGGTGTGTCATTTTCTTGATTTATTCACGGTTTCCTCTTGACTTGGTAGCGCTTGCTTCCTTACATCTATCTCTAGGACAAACACACCTCTCTAACACATCTTAGCATACATATTACTCCTAATGATTGAGCTGTGTACTGTCGTCATCATGTTCACCAAACTAAAACCACAACAAAATATGCTATTTTGGCCGTGTTTCTTGGACATGGGACGCACTTCACAGATTGTTTTTGGGGCAACGTCTAGTTGAAAGCCGTTGTCCGTAATAAATATGTCAGGCCGGTGATGACAATTCCTTTCATATGTGTCGTCTTCCTCGCTCCTCGAGTGCATCTCTCATATATAGCCACCCCATGCGTACGTGTCTTGGGTTCTTGTTGGCGTGAAAACATAGTTCGTGCTGGATGGGTGGCATCATTAGCGCTGGTGGATGTTGTGCGGTGCCCCTCCCTGTAGGCACTGTTTTTCTTTTGTTTGTTTATCCGGTGGTGTCCCCTTTTGGTTTCAAGCCTTGAGTTTCACTTATCTGGCTAATGGAGTTACTTTTCTCATTGGTTCAAATTAACTTCAATTTCGTTCTACTCTTGCTCTAAGAGCAAGCTCAATAATAGAGCCGAGCTATATAATAGTGGTTATCTTATTTGTCTATAGGAATTTTTTTTATTATTATTACTTCTACCCATGTCTCACCTTCCCATTCATAATCCTCCCACATTCACTTGATGTATGGGCCCACTACTACATATGTTTCCGTGCATAACTTGTTGCTTGCATAAGCGCCCACTACTATAAAATGAGTAACCGAGATGGTCAAAACACATTTAAAAATGATCTCTCGAATGAGCTATTTCTCGAGATGATGGTGAGCTATTTCTCGAGATGATGGTTAGAACCTTCTCTAAAAACGCATGTATAGAGATGGGCCACTTAACACACTGCCTCTAGGGGTGGGTGACTTAGGCAACCTGCCTTAGGAAATGCTTAAGCCCCCCTCCCGTTTATGCGGCAGGCCATGGCCTTAGGCCTGCTTGCCTATGTAAAGTTTCTGACGTGTCTGTGTCTCATAATTTTTTTAAGTAGTGTGCAAGACTTGTCTAATTTTCAATTTGAATTACTACACATTTTTTTCACCTACGACGTCTTTGATGAAGTCTCATGGTTCGTTGTACATCCCTTGCAGTATACAAAACAGAACCTTCATAGTACAAACCTTCCAGCTATCAAGATTGACAAGGATTCAGAAGCCACAGGAGAAACTATACTAGTTGCGTTGAGGCGTGCCCTTAGTCAATATTCTTCTTTGCAAGGACCGGATGGGCATTGGCCTGGGGATTACAGTGGGATTTTGTTCATTCTACCACTCATGGTATGAGATTTATTTATGATTTAAGTTTATGAAAAATTGAAGCTTCCCAACGAACTTTGAATTATCAAAGCACACAAAGTAACATAATCAATAACAAAATGCTAGAAACATAATACCACAGCAAACTTTTTTTTGGGATATGATAATGTACGTCAACAATGAATGGATCAAGATATAGTATTTTTATTGATTTAATTAAAAATACAAATATGTAAACATAATCCTGTAAAATAGAAACATAGTATGTTTTAAGGTATAAAATATTAACCATTATTGTGGATAACTAATTGGATATGATCCCCATAACATTTCGAGGTTCTGTTCTCATGATATTTTACAAAAGGTCACTATTTGACCAAATAAACATATGTTGTAACTTTAGCTATTTCATTTTTGTCATTAGTAAATATATTCAATAATTGTGGTGGTATCATATTTTGATCTCACAAAAATTATTTACTGTATCTATAAAATCATAGCTTTAACAATGCTTCTACCTTTTTTGTATCTTTTAGATATTTGCATTACATGTCACACGATCACTGAATGAAGTTTTGTCAATAGAGCATATACGCGAGATATGTCGCTACATTTATAACATTCAGGTATTTCAAAGTTTGCTTAAAATTTCCACACAATGTAGAATACATAAAATCTATCTTACATATTCTATGAAATATAATATGTATAGAATGAGGATGGAGGCTGGGGAACACACACCTTGGGACCAAGCTCCATGTTTGGCACATGCGTGAACTATGCAACGTTAAGGATTCTAGGAGAGGTGCTTGATGGAGAAAATGATGCATTATCCAAAGGGCGTGCTTGGATTTTGTCTCATGGAAGTGCAACTGCAGCACCACAATGGGCAAAGATATATCTCTCGGTATGCAAATAAGTCATTAAATTTTATAAATATAAAAATAATTTAAACTTTAATAATTAATAGTTTTTTGATATATGGAATGAACATCTTATATTAGTTTTATTCTTATTAGTTTGCAATACAATGTAAGTTCTCACTAGTTGAACAACATTTTCTAGCGATGAACATCTTTAGCATTGTAAATATATGGTTGTGGATTGAAATTAATGCAACCCATTGTTGTTGCTTTCAACATAAGGTGATAGGTGCATACGATTGGTCTGGGAACAATGCAGTTATTCCTGAGTTATGGATGCTTCCACATTTTCTCCCAATTCATCCCGGTATTTTATCCTAATCCCACATTTCATAGTTCATATGTATCCACACGCATATTTCCCAACTTTTATTTCGCTAGAGTGCAAATAAATTAAACAAATATTTGACTGCACTCTACACCTTTACATTTAATCTAATTTAATTGTTTCTAGGAAGGTTTTGGTGCTTTTGTCGGATGGTTTACATGCCAATGGCTTACATTTATGGAAAAAAGTTTGTTGGGCCTATCACTCCAACTATTGTGGCAATAAGAAATGAGATCTATAATATACCATATAATGAGATCAATTGGAACAAGGCTCGTAATTCTTGTGCCAAGGTATATCACTATCCTTCTCAGCATTGAAGCTTTATACTACCTGTAGTCATCATGTAAAAAATAGTCATATTCTAAATAATTATGCTCATTTTCACACAGTTTAATATTAGGACCAACCTTTAAAAATTACTTAATCCATGTTTATCCAACGACTAGATTGGAAGAGAACCCCTTGAAGTGGGGCTCCAAGTGGGGGATTGGGAATCTTTGAAAGGTCCTAATGGCTAAAGGGGGTGAATAGCCTATAAAAAATTCTACAACAACACTAAGCAATGTGGTTAGACAAATATGAGGCGAAGCAATTTTTGCACTAGCCTACTAAAAATGCAAGCCACCTACCACAATTCTAGTATCTATAGTCTCTATGCACACAATGTTAGGTCACTACCACTAAGTTAGTGAGCTCTCAAAGACTAACTAAAGAGCCTCACTAACCACTAGACAAGATACAAGCTAGCTCTCAAGACTAAATACACTAAAGAGCGTAGCAACACTAGAAATGTAAATACAAGAGAGGGGATGTGATAGTTATATCGCCGTGGGAAGAGATGATCAATCCAATCACAATGAATACCAAGAAATCCTCAGAGACAAGATAACACAATGATTTTTCACCGAGGTTCACTTGCTTGCCGGCAGGCGAGTCCTCGTTGTGGCGATTCACTCACTTAGAAGTTCACGCGCTAATAGGCATCACACGCCTAACCCGCAATCGGGTGCCACACAACCAACATAAGATGAGGATTACAAAAGCCACAAGCAATCCACTAGAGTACCTTTTGGCTCTCCGCCAGGAAAAGGTCAAGAACCCTTCACAATCACCACAATCAGAGTCAGAGACAAGCACCTTCCTTCGCTCGACGATCCTCACTGCACCAAGCCGTCTAGGTGGCGGAAACCACTAAGAGAAACAAGTGAATCCCGCAGCGAAACACAATCACCAAGTGCCTCTAGATGCAATCACTCAAGCAATGCACTTAGATTCACTCCCAATATCACAAAGATGATGAATCAATGATGAAAATGAGTGGGAGAGCTTTGGCTAAGCTTACAAGGTTGTTATATCAATGCAAATGGCCAAGAGAGTGAGCTAGAGCTGGCCAAACACCTTATATAGGCGTCCCCTCGAAATAGAGCCGTTGGCTCTCTATTAACACAGAATTTGGGGCAACTGGACGCACTGGTGGGATTGACCGGACGCAGGACCCCAGCGTTCGGTCCTTGGATTTGCGCCATGTGTCCCCCTATGTTCAACCTCAGCCGCTGATCACCAACGGCTAGTTAGCCTCCCTCGCACGGTTAAGTTGAGATCGGACGCGCCAATCAAGGAGACCGGACGCGCCGATGCACAGTCAGCCCCCGCGCACGCCAGCGCCAACACCTAATGACCGGACGCGCCGGTGCCCACGCTAACCCAGTGTCAGATTGAGTCCAGTAAGCATCCAAAGAGGGATTTTGCTGACCGGACGCGTTCGTTCACGTATGACCGGACGCACCACAGCGTCAGGTCCTCTCTGGCTCAGCAACAAAGCATACGTCAGCGTACGTCATGTGTGACCGAACGCAGGCCCTGTGTGTCCGGTCACATTCACTGTGCAGCGTTCGGTCACTAAACATATCGAGCTTGAGCGCACCATCTTCACTATAACTGACCGGACGCACTCACCCCGAGTCCGGTCAGTTCGAATGCGGCGTCCGGTCACTGAAAACAATGACTCCTCAACTCCAAACTTCGCCAAACATCACCACCCTTGAATAAATGTTCCAACCACCAAGTGTATCACCTTGTGCATGTGTGTTAGCATATTTTCACAAACATTTTCAAGGATGTTAGCACTCCACTAGATCTAAATGCATATGCAATGAGTTAGAACATCTAGTGGCACTTTGATAACCGTATTTCACGACGAGTTTCACCCCTCTTAGTAGTACGGCTATCTATCCTAAATGTGATCAGACCCACTAGGTGTGTTGATCACCAAAACAAAATGGCCCTATGGATTTCACCTTTGCCTTGAGCCCATTTTATTTTTCTCTTTCTTCTTTTTCAAGTCTGAGCTCCTGATCATCACCATGGTCACACCACCATCATCATGGTCTTCATCATTTGCTCCACCACTTGGAATGTACTTAACCTATCTCATATTCACTTAGAGCACATAAGTTAGTACCTAGGGTTTCATCAATTCACCAAAACCAAACTAGAGCCTTCAATCTTACTATAATAGGGGTCCTGCTAGAGTTGTTCCTTATTATTTCTTTTTTTTTTGTCTCGTACTCAAAAATATACTGGAGTTGAAATTGTGTTGACATACAAGATGTATTTTAAACTTTTACGCATTTTTGGTGTTACAAATATATTTTTTGGCAGTTTTATTTCGCCTCTCAAGGATATTAATGGCTGCTAAGGTAATTCCATTTTCTAGTAGTGCGTGTAGTATATATGAGTCTATACATGTGTGATGTTGCATGGTTGTGCTTGAGTCCTTGTGATAAGGCGAGTCACTAAATACACATGTTGTCTGTAATCAGATTTTACTGTGTACAAATGAATGACCAGTTGCATAAGGATATATCATGCAAGTATTCAATTCTGTAAAAGTAATTGTTGTTCTTTTTTCCTTTGGTCACTGCAGGAAGACCTTATCTATCGCCCTTCATGGTTGCAATGTATTGCAATGGCTTATTTAAATAAGTTTATAGAACCATTATCAAATCTCTGGCCGATGAATAAGCTACGAGAAAGAGCTATGAGCAACCTCATGGAACATATCCACTACGAAGATGAAACCAGCAACTATGTTGGCTTATGCCCTATTAACAAGGTAGCATCCCACTATCTTTTAAAATAAAGGCTAGGCTTTCTTCCATATCTGGATTTTTTTAAGCAACAGGAGGGTTAGGTCTCTACTGATTATAATATATTAAAAAGAGAGAAAATGTCACACACACAAAAGACCAATAAACAAAAATATATATACAAAAAGATCAACAAAATTATATAATGTTCTCTAGCCATTTGTTCAGTTACAGGTAGATATCTCTTTATTGCATGATGGACAACCATGGGAAAGGTTTCTTTGAACTTTCTTGGTTTGCATTTTGTAATCTCAACTAGAATTCATCTTAAGATGCAATATTTCCTTACTGATCAAATAGAAAAATACTTTAGCTCATTAAGATAATGACTTCCATGAAAAAGGGTAACATTAACTGCTTCCCAAGCTTTCCAACACCTGGAAAGGATTATCATATATCTCAATTTGAAGGTTTAGCAGAGCCCAACAAGCATGGGCAAAAGGATAGTGGATAAAAAGTGCTCTAGAGTCTCTACCTCTTCATCCCCACAAATAAACACAATTAATTATAAGACTGCATATTCATGGTACTTAATTTGTTTATAAGAAGAAGTCAAAAGAAGACTTTATGTTTGTTCTGGCACATACATGTTTCCTTCTAGTTGCATGTTGATGATGCTAGCAATCTACCACCCTATTGTTATTTTAAAATTTAATTATCTCCTTTGTTATGTACATGCTATATTATTGGCTCATTGCATAAGGGTTCAGCTAGTAATAATTAGCTGAGGTGTTTGCAGAAGCAAGAATGTTATTAAACTTTTATAATTTTGACTAGCAATATCTACTAACATTAGTGTTTCCAATATGCATGAAATTTTAGATATGGATGGTCCAAGTTAGAAAATCGAGTTAGTTCAAACCTCGCTAAAACGGATTTATATTTTATGATATGAGTGACTTTATGATTGATCCTCCAACACACTTTCACAATTTTTTTGAGCGGAAAATACAGCAGGGGAGACCCCCTCTGTAACTGTTTCACAATTGGTATGCATCTTTCATTTCCTTTTCCCTTGTCCCAAGGAAACCCCCAATCCAGCATGGGCCACATTTTACAAATTGAATAGTCATTTTTCTTACATTTCCTGACCACAATGTCTGGAAATGCATGGGCAGCATTTGTGTTTGTGTTGGCCTAAGGTATTCCATTTGGCAGTATATGTTTTCCCTTATATGATTATCACGGTCCATATTGATATGGATCAAATGGTATCCAATTTCTCAAGTAGTCCATTTGGAATCTCATAAAAGAAAATCATAAACATAGGTAAGCTGCTAATAAACTCTTTACTTTCTCCTAGTGCAGGTGCTACTACCATTTGCATATACTCAATTTCATTTCATAATGTTCTTAAATCCCTTTCCAAACCGGTAATTTTTTAAAATCTCTACAGAAATTTACAACTCACTTTCCTAGATAGATCAAATAGACCACAGAAAATCTCTTACATGATGGAACTCCACCCAGAGTTAGCCATCACTAGATCACCTGACTAGATTAGCATTGACAAGGTATTTTTTTCTTAAGCTCATACGAGTTTATTTTATGATGTGTCTCACAACAAAATTGTTTATGAAAGAAAAGGCATACCGCTACCTTATTTGCAACTAATCATATTGTACAAAACTATTTATTTTACTGATTTTCCTTTTTCTGCTATTAGGCCTTAAATATGATATGTTGTTGGATAGAAAAACCAAACTCCCATGAATTCAGACAACATCTCCCAAGGATTCATGACTTTTTGTGGATTGCTGAAGATGGAATGAAGTCAAAGGTACTATTTTTTGTACTTTGTTATCACTGCTAGAGAGAACATTATATTTGTAGGAATGGTGAGAAATGATTCATAGGAGCGATTTTTGTAGTCGCATGTACCAAACACCTCTAGAAATGAGGCATTTGTAGGGTCTAGCGAAATAACAACCACCTTGAAAAAATGATGCCTCTAAAAAATTATTTATGTAGCAGTGTTATCCAATGCAATTATGATGTTTAAGAACATTGCGTTAAGAAAATGAAGATGTTTGAGCACAACTCTCAAACACAACATGTGCCCTCGAATTAATTGATGCATAATGTGCCACTTAGAAAGATATATGACTACTGAAAAGGATCAAGTTGCCTAAGAGAGAGGGTGAGGTAAGAGAGACGGTGAGGTTGGCGATTGAATTAGGCTTCTAACTTTTTTGCGATGCGAGTGTGTCTAATGCCAAAACATTTTGCGCCCTAGTTCCAATCATATTCTAGCATGGAAAATCTAGGAAAGCAAACAATTGTAAGAATGTAACCTCTAGAAAGTAAAAAGATAGTTCAGAAGGCTTTTTTTCTTTAGGTGCGAAGAGTCAGCATTGTTGACTAGTTCTTATTGGAACAGATGTGCTAGGGCCACCTCCCTCTTGAACCATGAATGGACTACCTCTTGGAACATATGGTTTAGTAGTAGTTGTGAAGTTGGCTCATGTGGCCCATGTGGCACATATGGAGTTGCAGTTGGCGGGTTTAGTACCACCATGGAAGTTTAGGATGGTGAGGGCTAGCTTATAATCCCTGTGGTTCCAAACGTAACACCTTCGGGTTAACCCTTTTACACGAAGTGAGGACAAAAGTGTAAGAGAGGTGCTACGCGTATGCGGACCCGTTCCATGTGAGAAGCTAGGCCCTAAGCAGATTTTGGACATGGGGTGTTACATGGATGGAATGCTCGCTAGTGATAATCCATCATCCTTTTATTGATCGACGAATTCCAAACAAAGCACGACACTTCTTGGGTCTTCCACAAGTGTCACCTCCTTGGAAGCTCACCAAGAATAAACACCACCAAGCTATCTAGGTGATGCCTGTCTCAAGAGGAGAAAGCAAACCTCATTTTCCTAGAACCAGCCAAAAAATAGGTGGATGCACTATTGCTGCTCCCTAGGCACTAATGATGTCCTTAATATTCGGTCAATAAACTTGCAAATTACTTTAGTTCTTCCTTTTGACTTCAAGGTGTAGCTATATATGAACTCCAAAGGGTGGAAAGAAACCAAAAACCAATGAGGTGGTGAAGTATTTATGGCTACATTAACATATCGAAACTAGTTATTTTCTCCATGCATAAAAATTTCAAACCCCAAATATTCTAGTAGTGCAATTTAATTTGGCTAGAGGATCTGGTGAGTGCTACTACCTCACCTCACTATAAGAAACTTGTTGTTACTATTTTATAAAGCTTTAGTTGAAGCATTTGCTAACGTCATAAGAGCATATGATTATTGTGTGTTGAAAGCATCAAAGCATCAGGTGAGAAACTCAATATTCCACTGGCAACTCTCTCAGTCTCTCTAATGTTCTTGCTACTTAAGCATTCAGTGGATTCAATAGAGTATCGATCTAGTGAGTGTTAATCACTCCTTACCCTCAATGTCCTTTCTTGGGTGATGGCATCCAGTATGTTGAGCATTACGGTGAGTTTAACTCACAAATAAACACTCCAGAAGCTTTGTCTGGTGAGAAGCATCTGGTGTTCACTAAAATTTAACTTTAAGGAACATTCCATTTCAAATTTCTCGAGGCCTGACTTCTTTTCTTGCATCTTAGGGTTTCTTGCATCTCAAACTAGGCCATGCTCTTAGTTTTCATTTTCATCACCCTTAGTAGAACTTGTCTATATCTTAATGTTCATGCATATATCATTGCAACATCACCATGAAAACCAAATAGTCAACAATACCAATAAAGCCCGTCTGTTGTGATCTGAGTCAATGTTGCCTCTGCAAACACAACTTTCTATGCTGGTGATGTCATTAATCACCAAAACCACAATAGGACCTAAATGCTTTTAACATCCCTAAGGGCGAGCGCTAATTACCATCCCAATGACTAACCTGCATCAAACAAAGGTTTTGCCTCCTCTTAAGCTTGTCTTATTAGACTGTCTCCAACAGTCCAAACCCATACACGACACGCATTCGATGAATTGGGTAGCCTACAGCGAATGGGTGCGTGACCAAAAACTCCCCTCTTCCAACAGCCCACGCATACTCCACGCCCGTGTCGCCTCCCGTCCCCTGCACGACGACCGACGACTCGCCGTGGTGGCGGCCCCTACCACGGAGGAACCGCCGGAAGCGAGCTTGCAGTGTGCTGTCCATCACCAAGCAACAAGCAACAAGCAAGAATTCCTACACCGAAGGCGGACGGCCAGCGCAGAGCACTGAGCACACGCTTCAATGGTGGAGGAGCAAGCAGCTGCTAGCTTGCTTGCTTTGCCCTCTGGCTCCCTTGCTTTCTCCCTTTGCTTGCTCTGTCTGTGCTGCCTTTGAGCGGGCCTCACTCACTCAACCCAAGGATTCGTCACTCTGTGATTTTGTTCTTCACTGTGTTCTTCGTTCCCGTTTCTTTCCCCTTCTTGATTCGTGCTCGATTTGAGTTTTGCTGTGAGATTTGTTTAGTCAGATTGATGCTTTGACGAGTGTTGAACAATCCTACCAAGTGGTTTGAATCAATTCCACTCGTGCATCAAGATCCAAGCCGATCTTTATTTTGAGGGAAAAGCTCGTTCTTGCTCGAATTTCTTCGATTTACAGAGTTACAGTTTAAATTGAGCAATGATCTCCTAGGAGTAGGTTTTTATCTTCATTGTGAATCGCTGTGCAAAGTTTGGGAGCGATCCATGAAGATTTGAGTCGGATTTCATCGATTTTCTTGGCCGCTCCTTTTCTGTTCTTCGCGTGCGAGCTCTCTGTTCGTCGTGTGCTAGTTGATTTGGCTCCTGGCCGAGCACACCAGCAGCGCCCTTGCCGGCGGCGTGGCCCTACGGTCCGCCAGAGCGGCACCTGCGACCCCCTTCCTCAACTCCGGTGTGGCTCCGGTGCGGTGACCCCGAGGTGCTGCTCTCGCCGGACCGGGCTCCGGTCGTCCCCTTCCGGTGGGCCCGACGCCTGGGTGGAGACGCAGAAGGACGAAGAGAGGACGCATGTTTGCGTCGCGCGTCGGTACCAACCCAAAATGCGTCGCTCATTTGCCTAGTCTGTTGGAGGTTGTTTTGACCGGCAAAAACACTGTGAACAACCCATTTTTGGGTTTGGGTCACGCTGTTGGAGTCGGTCTTACTCGATGTAGTATGGGTTTGATCCGGGTCGCTACTATACCAACCTGGTCCTCTCGTTGCCTACTTAAGCTATTGGTCCTTGTTGGGACCTTATATATAACGAGATGTCTAGGCTGCCACACTAATCGAGGTCATTAACTGGACCACACTGTTCTTTGGGCAGTGGACATACAACATACACCCCTCTCTATGGTACCTGCTCCTGGCTACACCATAACAGAAGTATTGCAATCATCTCGATCTAATCTTGGGCTTCCACTCCAGTTTTAGCGTTTTCATTACTTATGCTACAATTGTTTCTGGATTCAAAGAATTTGACAGTTATGCATGGTAGGGTAGGAAATAATAGTGTTATATTTCATCTCATTGATATGATTCCATGCCCATCTGTAGGATTGCTTAGTATCCAAATTAAACCACCATGTAGTTTATACTTAAAATAAACTGACGGGTCTCAATACAAACCATACTCCTCCAACACTAAATAAATGTCTTGGTTGTTTTAATTTCTAGATAATTTTTTCTTCAAAATGCAGAAACATAACGAGTTTTTCTTCACTAGGTGTATGTTGGTTGCCACGGCTGGGAAACTGCGCTCATAGTTCAGGCCTTTTGCTCAACAGGGCTTACTGAGGAGTTTTGTTCAACCCTTCAAAAAGCACACCAGTTCTTAAAAAATGCACAGGTTTGCTGAGTATATGTGTGACATATTTTTATTGAAAAGCATTGTTGTAAATTGACATCAATATTTTCTGCTTGTAGGTTATTCAGAACATTCCTAATTACAAAAGCTACTACCGTGAAAGAACAAAAGGTTCTTGGACTCTGTCCAATGGAGAAAACTTTTGGCCTATTGCTGATACTAATGCTGAAGCACTAAAGGTTATACTTGTCACTAACACAAAGTGAACTTAATATTTAGAAACACTTTTCACATGGCAAGAATCAGTCCTCGCGTGTCAAATGAAGATGATTGAGTCCTCTCTTGGCAGCAAAAGAAAAACATTATCCTTGTTTTATCTTTTTGTAGGAACAGGAAGGGTTTCCCTACCGAGAAATTTATTATTGAAAGAGCAAATTACAATAGAGAATTAAGAATCAAAGAAGATAACCGAAATTACAACAGGCCTTATAGCCATAAATCTGTCAAAGGAAACTATCACTTCTTTGCCTTAAGGATAACCATAGTAAACTCTTTCTTAAAATATCCTTGCAATTCGCTACCTTGGTGCAATAATAATGCCTCTGGAGATCACAACATTTTGCTCTGTTCGAGTCTGATCCTTCTTTTATCTTCTTGAGGCATGTTTTGGCTTGAGCAAATGTATTTCTGATCTTAGTGAGAATCTAAATTAACATGTACTAAAATTATGTACAAATAGTTCTGTTTTACTAGACAATATGTGTTGTCTGCAAAAAAAGGTACTATTTTAATCAGTCGTTTGCCTTTTCATTGTGTAGGCAATACTGCTGCTGTCTAACATTCCTTCAGAACTTGTCGGGGATCCAATAAAACAAGAACGGCTGTATGATGCTGTTGATTGCCTCCTTTCTTTCGTGGTATGACTAATCAAATTATCTACCATATATTACCAACATTCTAGCTAGAGTTAGAATTCCTTCCCAAATGTATACATGAAAAAGTATTATGTACCAATTGTCATGTGGAGCAGCCGGGGGTTGCATGGTGACCGGCTGCATGGTGACTAGAGGGGGCGCAGTTACAGCACGGTAGCACTAATGCAGCAGTGATTAGTGGCTAGCTGGGATTTAGGTGATTAGGGAGATTAATGGCTAGGCTGGAATTCAGGGAGCTAGAAATTAGGAGACTCATTATCTCCGGTAGCCTATTTATACTCTGTAGTCAGCCATGGAAGGATTAAACAATAACAAGACAATTCTATCTCCCAATTCCCCTTCTTGAACAACAGGGCGCAGAGGGGTAAAACCTTGCCCCGAATCCAATTCCCCAAAATGCTCTAGTCTCCCTCCACGCCGACTTTGCTCGGCCTTCCTCCTAGCAATGGTTATCTTTATTCCCCAACCCCCAATGATCTAAGGATCATGACACCAATTAGAAAATGGTATTGAAATTAGATTAAAATGTGTGAACAGAACAAACATATATATATTTTGGTGCTCTCAGCGAACACTTAACCAAAGCCTTTTTCTTTATTTCTTTTTTTTCTTGCCGGCACATTGGACATTACATCATCGTAGTATGTGAAAATACTGGAATGTAAAGCATAGATACTAACAAATGAAATTATTCATCACTAGCACATCTAACAAATTCAGTGTATATAAAATTATTCACTAGTGACCAAAGACAAACTCAAGAGATTTGTTAGCTAACACACCTACAAGCACTACTAATAAGGGCCAGTTTGGATCTGGATAGTGTCACACCTAATTTTAAGAATAAAATGGGATGCATAATCTTATGTGCGTCCAGAGATCAATCATACACATAAGCCGACAAATTATAGAAAGTACCATCACAAGTGTTTATTATATCACGAATATTATCACATAGTCTTCACATAAATATAGCGGAAATATAAAGATAACTCTCTCGCGGAAGCTCCGTAGCACAGGGACGTCAACTGGTTGACCACAAGACTAGTAATCCCCAGGGAAGTTGTCATTATCATAGCAATCTGTTACCCATCCGAGATTTTTATCCAAATAATGAAAATAAACAAGCGTAAGTACATCCCGTACTCAATAAGTGTAACATGGGGTTCATGAGGCTCAAAAACTTACGGGTTTGACTGCATTTAGCTTGTAGTTGTCACAATTTTAACACATCAGTAGCACAAGTTGTTTTAAACCCAATATAAACACATGATCAAGTAAACATGAATAATGAATAGCATAAATAAATAGTCAATAGTAATCATCTATTCCATAAGGGTTCCAAGGCCACTCGTGACCGTGAGCACGACTGTTATAACAGTTTTACACTCTGCAGAGGTTGTACACTTTCACTATGAGTCGTGATTCCCATTTACCCAGGGTTTGCAAGTCCCTAAAACACTCCCAAGGTGAGCAGACAGAGTACACTATGAAGCCTTTCAAAGGTTCGTCTAACAAGTTAGGGCCGCTAAGATTTTAATTGGCAAATAGATGTAGAGCTCCCCTTCTAGATGGCACATTCCGCACAGGTTATACACATAGACAAAGGCCGCACTATACCCGATTCGGCAAGCCCCTTTTGCGCCATAAAGGTAACCACTAACAAGCTAGAAAAGGTCCTCATACTTGACTAAAGCCAGAGCCATGTGGCCCTCACAGTTGTACTGTTAGTCTCGGATGATCACTTACAGGTAAGTCCTTAGGGAGAGGAATCTGAAGCATTTAGAAAGTAGCTAAATACTCCAGCCCCTTTTATCAAGTTGCTAAAAAATCATATTTTAATATTTTTTGCATATACCATTAGTCAATTTACAAGATCATGGTTTCGTTGAGCACTAGCATTAGCTACCCAATGCAATATCCCATAGGAGTCAATGCATGGTTACAATTCTAGGAAATCCTTATCAAGGTGACACATGCATATATGAAATAAATGTATTATGGTTAATAGGAATCAAGGATAATCCCATGCTATACCTGCCTTGATCAAAGTGTTTCTGTTGATCCTGCTTGTCAAAGTAGTACTCTTGATCACCCACGAATTGCTCACCGTCTATACTCGATCAACACAGCAACATACAAGCATCCAGAGGCAATCATGCATAGCAAACAAAGACTATATATTAGAATAGTACATCAACAGCGTAAAATCAAGATGAAAAGTTTGTAAAATGAATCTACGTCTCGCTATGAACACACTGACGCAAAGATCACAAAAATCGGAGTTATAAGGAAGAAGTTATGAATTAAACAAGATTTCCTTTAATAAAATAATAGATTAAAACTATTCTCGAATTTTAAAAGTTGAAAACATATCTAACAATAGTATGAACATGTAGACTACGCGATTACGAATCTAACGCAACTTGAACGGATCAAAACGGAGTTAAAACAGAGATTTTATGCATAAAACAAAGTCAGTGGCAAAACTGTAAATAGATGGATCTGATTTTCGGAATAAAAATAAATATAAATGATTTTAAATCTAACCGAGGGACTGCGGGTTCGAATATGGAAAAGTGCAGGGGCTCTTTAGCAAAAGTGACAGGCGAAGGGGTATCGTTGGCTCTAAGCCGTTGGATCTAATCTGGACGATCAAGATTAGAGAAGAGGGAGAGAGAGAATAGATGGCTGGCTGGAACAGTGGTGGCGCGGCGGCGATTTGGCCGGCGATGGCGAGTCCTCACCGGAGAAAAGGGGAAAAGGCCCTAGAGACCTCAGATTAACTCGGGAAAAGCACGGGAAGCAAAAGGAGACGATGGCGAACTCACCCAAGGACTTTTCGTGGACGAAGACGGGACTGCGGCAGCGTGTGGCTCGGTGAGGCGGACGGCGTCGATCTACAACGTCGGCGACACGGGGTGAGCGAACCAACACGGGAAAAAGAGAAAGAAGGGGCTCAGCAGCTTCACAAACTCGACGCGAAGCTCGGCGAAAAACTTACAAAGGCAGCGATGCGGCAAAACAGAGAAGCTTGAGCTCGGGGCGGCGCTTAGGGTTGCAGCGGCTCTCGCGGGCTCGATTGGAGGTGGCGGCTTGCTCTAGGGCTAGATGGGAAGGCGGCGGGCGCAAGGATGCTATTTATGGGGGCCTCGGCATGGCGCGCACGCCAAATCCCTCGGAAATCGGGCCGGGCGCGGAGATTTCCTCGGGAAGGAGTCTGGCTTGAAGCCGACTCGGGGTAGGGGACGACGCTTACAGAGCGGGCCCACCTGTCGGCGACTCAAGGCGTGGGTCCTAGCGGTCAGCCAAAGGGAGAGAGAGGAGAGCATGCCTGCGCTCAAGAGCTAGGCCGGCCCGTTAGTTGGGCCGCGTGTAGCGCGCTGGGCCACGGGAAGGAAGGGGGGGGGGTGGAAGCTGGGCTGTGTGAGAGGCAAGGCCGAGTGGGCCAAAACCAGGGAGAGAGGAAGGTAGAGGTAAAATTCCTTTTTTTTGTTAAACACATTTACAAAATCAAATTTAAATTCTTTTGCAGTTTTGATCAAACCTACTCATCACAAAAATAAATATGCAGCAGCATGTATGCACAAACATGTAGCTATACCTTATAGTTGATTTTAGTTTTACAAAATTTATTATTTCTCTAAGTTTAAATGCTCACAAAAAAGCATAAATAAATCAAATTAACCTATTTTTAAATGATGCAAAGAAGCCAATTGTTAGCTAATTGCTAGATTCTTTATTTGCTAGGTAGTTCATTTAAAGCAATTAGTTGGGCTATTAGCTGGGGTCTTTGAATCTACTAGAGCTAGCTATTTTTCGTGGCTAACTATGAGTTGCATGGAACAACCCTAATCAATGGACCTGTTTCAATTACGTCGGTACAGAAAGTGACCAACTAGTGAATATTTGTAGTTTTGCTGTACGTTGTGATCGGAGGTGGCCTAGCACTCAATGACACAGGATTTATACTGGTTCAGGCAACGTGCCCTACGTCCAGTTTGGGTCGGTCGGTGACTTTATTCCTGAGCCCAGGTGCTCGAAGTATGTAGTGGGGTTACAAACGAGAAGGAGAAAGGTGGGGTGTACGAGAGGCCCGGTCGGGTCCAACCGGAAGGGCCGAGGGCGACCGGATCTCCGCTATGAGTTAGGTGTTCAAGCATGTGCTTGAGGGGTTGTGAGCTATCGATTTAGTGAATCTCAACTTAAAGAAACTCGACCTCCTTTGTTGGAGGGAGCACATCCCCTTTTATAGATAAAGGGGATGGCTTTATAGGTGAGAGGGAAAGAGTACGGATGTTTCTAAGCTTGGTTGCCCACGCCGACGTGGGTAGCGATGATGGTAGGCACCCACAATACTGTTGATGTCACTGTAGAATGTCAGGTGCACATGGGAGGTTGCGTTGGCTTCTTCAGGAAGGGTGGACGTCGATACCTGCAAAATACTGTTGGTATGTGAGGAGCCCTACCACGTATACCAGGTATGGTGAATCCTGGCGCCCACAGTACCACTGATGCCCAGAGGCATGTGGGGGGCTTTTTGCCGTACGGGAGCCCAACGGTGCCTACAATACTGTAGATATAAATGTTAGCGCCTACAATACTGTTTGTGTCAGGACGGTTGTGGAGCACTGTTCCCGCAGGCGTATAGGGTATGGTCCCGGTATCGTGGTTTGACTTTGTGCGCTACCTTCTCCGTTCGCCCCTGGTCCCTTCCGAGTGGGCGTCCCCGGTCGGATGGCCCCAGTCAGCCCTGGTCGCCGGTCGGAGACGCGGGGTCGGAGTAGGAAGCAGCGTTTTGAGCCAGGCCTTTCCGATCGAAGAGACCGCCCGGAGGCGGCTGGTGTCTGAAGCGAGTGCTCCGGTGCTCCGGTCGGAGAGGTGGCCCGAAGAAGTTGAAGAGCGGGCGCTTGTTCTTTTGGGTAGACCTCCCGGTCGGCGACCGGACTGTCCTTCCGGCCCGTTGTGTTTTAGACTCTTGGGCCGGCCCATGGATTACATGTTGTTTTCCTGGGCCGAGCCCTGACGTGGAAGCCGGTCCCCGAGGGACCCCGGGTTTATGAACCCGACACATTATACAACTCAGACACAATATATAGACTCGTGCTTCACCTAGCCTGCATGTGGGGTGTCTATATATCTCGTGAAATGAAGCTAGTGGAGCCATCAGATAGGCTTAAATGGGTTATTTCTTACTGGGTTCAAATGCAGTTAACATTTTTGGACTGAATTAGGAGGGGCTAAACATCTATTAACTATGTAACAAAGGGATCGGTACAGCATTGGGGAGGGGGTGCAGCCCCCGCCCTCCCTCCTGTCTCTTCCATTGCTTGTTTGAGGTGTTGAACAGTATTTGCATCATTATTATTATGGGTATTTGGATCCATAATATCTTTGTCATTAGCCTCTTATCCATCCCAGCGTTTGCAACAACCATCTCTTTTGTTTATGTATCAAACGTAGCTAAGGAAAACTCAGGTTTGATTTTTGTTAACAATTAAGATAACATGTCAATGGTATAGTGCGATGCCAGATCTCAAAATAATACAAAAAATGCATACCCATGGTAACATAAAATTCAACTAGAGATATCCAATTTATCCTGGACCTAGATCTTAACATAATCAACCTTCAAACCTAATGTAATTGGAAAATTGGAGCTTAATTCACTTTAAGCATTAAATATAGTTCCCACAACAAGTTCGGTTATTGGACCATCATTTACATTCACTTTGTATCATGACAGTTACTAGAGGCATCACACCAGTCTATAACATGAACCGGGTGTCAAAGTTATCATCACAACTGATTCATGATCAGTTTGAACATAACAAATCGTGATGGACTGGTTGTAAATTCCATTTCTACAGTAACAAGATTACCATCATATAATTTGTGGCAACTTGTTGGCAAGTATGCCTCTCAAGTCACATCACATCCATTACACTTGTGCTCCCTTCTCATTTATCTAGGTTGTACCAGTGCAAGCGATTTCAGGTCAATCTGCTGGACATAGTATGTTACTAGGCTATGTTCTTGTTTCACAACCGCTAATAATTCTGCATTGGGAGGCCACAAAATATAAGTTCTAGTATGACAGCCATATATACTTTGTTGCACGCTATTCTTGTCTCAAATTATAGAATAATCAAGCATGCTGGATCCAAAATTCAAGGCTCTACATATTGGTTGTATAGTTATTGGATTTCACGTTAGTTGTCCGCTTACCTAAATCTGTATGATGAACTTTGCAATTTTATGATTATATGAAAAAACTTATTTTTCTTCATTTCAAATTCAATAGTACTGACACAACTATTGTTCTACTCTGTTGAAGAACAAAGATGGTACATTGTCATCAGCTGAATGTAAACGGACAACTCCATGGGTGGAGGTGAGTATACCTTTTGCATGGTATTAATGTACACTATAAAAACAATGTTTCTGGTTTTTTTGTCTTATATTTGAAACTTTTTCCAAGACTTCTGCATATACTAGTATAAATTAGAAGTTCAACTATCAATAATTGAGAAACTTCTTACTAAATAGCTCTTCTCAACTAGGGGCGAAATAGTGGAGATAAACAATCTAATTTATTTTACTGGTGATATTACGAATCTAGGAAATGTCCCTATTGTTGAAGATCATCAATATGTTGGAGGAGTTGTACTTTGTTTAATGAATTTAACGCATATCTTTCGGGAGATCTAAACAATAAGTCACTTAAATGAATTTAACTGTAGCAACTTTTAACATTCTACAAACAAGAGTGGATATCACTATTCACTAGTGAATATCAAAGCTAAGGAAAAGTGGAATCATGTATGATACAGTAGGAATCCATGTGTGCGGCAAATCTAATGCTACATTGGGTCTGATCTCATTGTGGAACTGAAATGTCTAATGATCTCACTTATTTGAAGTTTTAATAAAAATTAAACATATTTGTCTTCAGTTACATGAACTGATACATTCATGGTTAAAATGATTCGGGAAAAAACAGAATAAATCAAAATATTAACCTTTCGCTCTTTAGCAAAGTAGTAGGAATAGCTTCCAGCTGTATTTAGGAGTAATAATTGATCCCCTGATGCTATTTGCACATGGTATGTAAAGCCAACATGTTTATGGAAATTGGAAAATCCAACCCTGGATGCAGTCTTGCATCCACCAACCATGTACATGCATGCATGGGATTTCACCATGCCCTTGTTGGATTTATATTTTTTCTACTACTTTTACTTTTATGAAATTTCATACATTGTCATTGTCATTTATTACTTATATATTAGAAAAACATGTGGTTTTTTTTAGCTTGGCCGTGACATATCACACACGACATACTAAAGTACTTTTATTTTAATGCCGTATCAAAATCTTAGTGGTCTATGTGAATTGATTAACTCCGTTCATAATGCAGTTTATCAATCCTTCTGAGAGTTTTCGTAATATCATCGTCGACTATCCGTAAGAGATTCGAGTGTTTGATGGTTTAAAATGTTCACTAATTTACTTTACAAATTGGACAACGACTAACGGCCTACAACCAAATATGCAGATATCCTGAATGCACATCATCATTAATACAAGCTTTAATATTGTTTAGAGACAAGTGTCCAATGTATCGTCGTGAGGAGATAGACAAAATTATCAAAAGTGGTGCATCGTTCATTGAGAAAGTACAACGAAAGGATGGGTCCTGGTATGTAAAAATGAATTGCTAAGAATCATGGATTATATGTGAATTATATTATGACTGCTAATAATAAAAACTAATTAAACAGGTACGGCTCTTGGGCTGTGTGTTTCACTTATGCAACATTCTTTGCTATAAAAGGACTAGCTGCTGCAGGAAGAACATACCAGAACAGTTTGCCTATCAGGAAAGCATGCAACTTCTTGTTGTCAAAGCAGCTAGCAACCGGTGGATGGGGAGAGAATTATCTCGGTTGTCAAATTGAGGTAATTGTTCTTCCATCATTTGTATTGCATTCATTCGGTCATGTGGACATTTTAAGTTGTCTCCATTGTGCTGTCATGTGTTAGTTAGACTTAGGGATTAGGGGGATTATTAATTATTAACAGGATTCCTAGCTCATAGATTAGAACACCTACATTAGATAGAATGGTTCTCATGTATACCTTCGTTGGAGGAAGTATAGGTGTCGTGGCTCCGGAATCCTAGCCCTTTCTTCTACCTCTTCTACAGCTGTCGGGAATCCTAACCCTTTCTTCTTCCTCCCAGCGAACGGCTGGCGAGCGGCGCGCTGATGGATAGAGTTTGCGATACTCTATGCTGACTTGCGAGCGAGTAGACGAGGCCGCCAATAGTGAGGGGGCGGCAGGTGACTCGGCCTGGACGGATGCAGATCGGCCGGCATGCCATTGCTCGCGCGGTTGTGCCTCGTGGCTGAGAGAGCCGGACTTCGCCTTCGAGAATCGAGAGGAGGTGCGTGCAAAGACCGACGACCGCCGGCGCTCGTGCGCAAGAGGGACCTGGAATCTGCGCTAGAAGGACATGGAGCGTCAGCAGTCAGCAGACTCAGCACCTCACGCAGAGGGTGGCCGGGAGTTGGGGATGGACGTTGCTATTGTGCTGGGCCGGCGCGACGCGGGACGTCGGGTGGTGCCTACTGACTCGCGACCTGGGCTGCTTTCTACTGGGCTCCCGCCGGCCTGCTACTTGTCTAGCTCGCGACGCAGCTCGACTCTGGCTCGTTATGGTACCGATGACTAGTGAGCAAAAATGATGCATGAGCTCGTTAAATTAAACAATATATAAACGAGCTAAGTCGACCTCAGCCTGTCAGCCACTAATGAGCAGAGTTAAATAAGCTAGCCAGCTACAAATTTTTCATCCAGTCCTACAAGAGCCATGGTCAGGAGTGGACACGCCCGCTGGGCTACCGACGGTGATGTGTTTTTCTTTATTTTTTTCTAGTTATAATTTGCATGTGTGGTTAAAAATGGCAATTGCGTCTGCAAATCAATTACCAGGTATGGTTGGCATCTTCACCGCCCTTATGCTACCTCCAACAGCAACATCAAAAATATAAGACCCATTCGTTTTTTGGGTAGCGCTACAGACAAAAGGTTCAATACATATTCGGCATCTTCTCCAATAACAAGACACAAAAAAGAATCATTTCTGCAAATAGATTTTCAGGAGAGAGAATGTCCGTATTTGAGTTGTGCCTCTCAGGCAACCCAAAATAGGTCTCTCGTATAGGTACTCTGTTGGAGGCTAATTTTCGGTCTCTTGCTATCCATTTTGGGTTTGGTTGCCCATATGGATTCCTTGTTATACTGTCTCCAACAACCGCGACCCAAAATACAAGACCCATTGGTCCTTTGGTAGCGCTACAGGCAAAGGGTTTAATACATATTTTTGTTTTTCTCCAACAACAAGACCCAAAAGACAACACTTTCTGCAAATGGGTCTCCAGGAGAGATGATACTCAGATTTGGGTTATGCGTCTCCTGGCACCCAAAATGGGTCTTCCATATAGGTACTCTGTTGAAGGCTATAGGTATTATGTTGGAGACCCATTTTATGTTTGGGTTCTACAATGGATCTCCTGTTGAAGACAGCCTTACAGATCAATTTATAGGCGTGAATGCCCGGCTGCCTGTGAAAAGTTCTTATTTATAGAGACAGTTTGGTGAAGATGCCCGAGAAAATTGTTTTAGTGTTTGTTTGAATGCACTCGTATTTAAATTAATCTATGTATATATGAAAATTAATTAATTTTGCACTCTAATATATGTGAATTGAGGTAATTACGAGCGCATCCAAATAAGGTCTTAGAAATTTGTTTTGTCTGTGTCTGAAAATTAGCTTTTTTAACATAAGAGTAAAAATTAGTTTTGTAGTAGTGTTCTTTTCAACAAGACGTGTTGCGGAAAATAGAGTACTTAGAGTTTGTGCTAACTATTTTTTCGGCTGCAAACTGAACAGGAGTACGTTGATAGTGGCAGGCCACATGCAGTGAACACTGCACAGGCGATGCTAGCTTTACTTTACGCTGGACAGGTTTAATTTGCGCCCCACCCCCACCCACCCACGCACTCCGCTTGGATATATCTGCTTTCCTAATGTTGATACCGTGAGCAGGTTGAACAGGATCCAGCGCCACTATACCGTGCTGCAAAAGAATTAATCAACATGCAGATGGAGAACGGAGAATTTCCCCAACAAGTAAGTGTTTTTCCATAAACCAAAATAGAGTATTCGATGCATATTAAATATAAATTGAGTGATTTATTCAACCAGTTAGGAGAAATATGGCCATTATGTTTATGAAACCTAGTGGCTAACAAAAATGGCCATGATATATCTAGTGTCAATATATATGCCTTGGAACTAAGATAGATAAAATTTGTAAGCATGTTTAATTTGCTCATACTTATGAAGAGAGATGCACAATTAACGAGGAGAAATAAAGAGAGAGAACTTCATTAATTAAGCCACATATCAGCCATATATTTTGAAACAAGATGTCAACGAATATATGCCTTGCTTTTTGAAATGGAAGGGTAGTAATAATGTTATTCTACCTGGTTTGGTTTTATAAGCGTTAGCATGCATGTTTGGATGAAATAGTAGAGAACTCCAAGTAAACCAAAATTTGTGGTAGCTCTTTAGTGTAACTGTGCGTGTCATTCGGACTGACATCCACTTCCATCCTGTTCTGTTTTGTTCAGTTCATCTTGTGGTTGCTATCTCTGAACTCTGAAAATTGTTTGAATATGCATTTCAATTTTAGGAAATTGTTGGCAACTTCAACTCCTCACTTTTCTTTAATTATCCCAACTACCGGAACTTATTTCCCATCTGGGCTCTAGGAGAGTTTCGCCGTCGACTTCTTGCAAAAAAGAGTTAAGGTGGGTATCTTTGGCCATTTCTATGAATTGTATTTGGGATACAAATATCCATATACATTATATTGTATATTGTATTGTATAATGTATGAACCAAGCCCGTGGTGATGGGATGTAACACAAAACAAAATTTGTATTTACTAAAGTATATATTAATCTTTGTAAGATTATCACAAACTAGTTGATAATCATCAGTCATCTGGTTCTTCAAATTCAACAACAATAATGCAAAATGTTCTTAAGCAAAATCTCTTGTGAATCTGTCGCAACTATATCTGAAAATAAAATCAGTGGCCTGTACAGAGAATGAAAAATGAAAACATAGACTTAGAGCATATCTAGGAGTTAGGGAAAAAGCACTTCCCAACAGCTGTATATACCTACTCCTAGTTCTTACACACTGCAGAAAATTGAGCACTGCACACACATATGAATGTGGATATAGAGGACTCCCGATCGGTCTTAGGATGGTTTTCTTCTCTTCCGCATTTTTTCCCACAGTTTTTTTTTTGTCTTCCTGTTTTGTACAATATCCCCGTGTCCCTATAGCTGGTATCTGCCTTGCTATAGCAGCCACACCTAGCTGGCAATAGTCCTGCCTAACCTAGCTAGAACTAGCCTAGACAATACTAGAAATATCCACTTCTACGACGAACAACTTTCGTCGTTAAGGAGCCAAATTCGTCATAATTTTAGTTTTATGACGAATTTATGACGAAAAACGGTTCGTCATATAAGTCGCGTCATTCTTTAAATTCTATGATGATTCTAAAAATTCGTCATAGATGTGGATAGATCTATGACGAAAACTGAATGTCATAGAACTGCTTTGTCATGCGTGGCAGGGGGCAGCCACGCTGGCGAGTGCTTCCGTTGGAGATGTTTTTTACGTGTACATGCTATAACCAGTTCTATTGGAGATGGTTCGGGTACGTGTCACCTTCTTATTGCACAACGTGGCCATCTCTGGTTCTTGCACGTTTCAGGTTCTTACTGGACCACGTGTCGGGACCCTGTTGTTCCACATGTCAGTTTTCTATTAGCACACGTGTCGTGTTGCGGTTGGGTCACGTGTCACTTCTTCATTGGACCATGTGTCGTATTTTTATTGGTCCACGTGGCGTGACCACAATACCCCGCGTATCTTTGTTTTACTCGACCACGTGTCTCGATATTGTACGTCCGCGTGTCAATATTTTATTGGGCCACGTGTCACGCCCTGAGCTACCCACGTGTCTTTTTCTGATTCGACCACGTGGTAGGACGGATTTGTACCACGTATTTTGTTTGTATTGCCCACGTGCCCTGTCGTGGCTCTTACACGTGTCATTCACTAGTTCATCCACGTGTTAGATTCTTATTTAACAACGTGCCTGTGCCGGATTTACCACGTGCACACCAATCATTACATCAGAAAAAATGATTTCAGATCTACACTGCTGCATAAAATGACTACATGCATAATTATATTGAATCTGAATCAAATAACAGCAATTTAGCTTAGCAGCAAACCACTGACAGAGTTCACATATCAAGCCATCAAAATTTCACATCAAAACAGTAAACAAACCACATGTTCACTGCATCAACAAGACTGAGAGTTACCAACGCTTAAGAGCATGATATGCTCACGGAGCTTATTGTACTCCTCCTGTTGTTGTTTCTTGAACTCCTCAAACTCCCTATCAGTGTTTTTTGCCTTCCTCTTCAGTTGATCCACTTGTTTGGCGAGGACTGCTGAACTTTCCTGATGAGCAGCAAGCCGTTCCCAAAGTCTGGAGTAGCTTGTCCTGATACCAGCATTCTTCAAGGAAAAGGTGTTATAGCTGGCCTGGGAGAGGACCTTAGAAACAACATCAGCAACATGTTCTGCTCGTATAGTTTCCATAGCTTTCTGCGAAAACCAAGGAGTAAACATTAGGTAGAGGACTTAAATTGCAGAACCAAGAGATTATTTCATTACAAGTAATGCATAGGTCTTCCTCGGCCTACTACCGATAGAGATCCATAAGCACAATGCATAGGTAACATATTAACTGTTGTAATATTACAACTTAAAAATGATGGTGCCACTTTAGGCTCCTCCTACTTTTCCTTCTTTTATGCCAATGGTTTCAGCAGATTTTAAGGAAAGCAAAGGAAGGTACTTGTTGGTGTTTCTTAGCGTCACCACTAGGATTGTAAGTCCTAGCGATGGCACCAGAAACGTCGTGACGATATTTCTGAACACATGCAGAAATGTTAAGCAAGCGCACGGATATATCGTTGTAGCATTTCACCCGGAAGTATTTGGGTATCGTTCATTTATATTTTCCTAAAGGAAGGCATGATATAAAAGTCTCTAGTAGAGACATGGTCAAAATAACATGATTGTATAATTGACCAAAGTTCATAACCGGGGTAAGCCAGGATAAATATGGGATAGTGTGACACACACACTCAAGCCAATCTCAAGGATAAAGATAAAAGAAAGAATAAAAGAATTAACCCTAAACAGGAGCAGGCATCCTAGTGTACACAAGGGTAGCGTTAATGAGGATAGAGATGGATTCCTATGGTTTTAGGGTCTAAGGATAGATAAACTTTTCTTCTACTTGCTTACTTCGGGCACCGGATAACACTTGGTCTGCCAAGCATTGTTGACCTACGGCTCTACGCCGTATCCGAATGTGGGGGATTACGAAGGACGAACAGGGCTGTCACCACCTTTCATCTACCCCTCAACTGGAGGATATGAGGCAAATGAAGGTAGCCTCAAGCCTAGACACCATGTCTACGCTATCGACTACTACTCTAGCATTCAGGTAGGGTTATCCATCTTTATCAGGGACCTCTACTAGAGTATCCGTGCAAGAATGGACGACGAACCCACAAGCAAATAAGAGTAAAGATTAACTAGCAGAAGGACTTTACACCAAAAGAACCACGAACACTTACTTAGCGAATGAATCCACAAAATAAGTGTTCGCTGAATTGCAAGCGGGGGGAGGCTACCGGCTAGTCCGGTTCTTCCCCAACTCTCCCTCACATCTCTCTCTACTCAACTCTAACTAGCTAACTAGGGCATGAGCCCTAGGAGTGATGCTCTTGTCCCAAAGGATAATGTAGCTCTTCTCCTTGTGTGTTGTATGAATGATAGAGCATAGAAGATCATATGCTAAACTAGTAACATAAGAACCTAGCCCTAAATCATGATCATAGCAACATTGATAGAATAAAAACAAGAACAAGATGAAGAACATGACATAAATCAAAATGAAGAACATTGTATTGATCATACCAAATATCTTCAAGATGTTCCTGATCTCCAATTACAAGCTTTACCAAGCTCCTAATACTAAAAATAGTAGAAAAGAATACAAGTGGAGAGGGAGAATGGCTCTTGTGTGGTGTGTGTTTATGTGAGAGCTCCTCCTCTCTATTTATAGCAATGCTATGATTGGTTTCTCTGCATGTGCCTATGCAACTGTCATAGGGGAGACCACCAGGAACGTCACGTGGAAGGGGAGATAAGGCAGTGCAGCTAGGGGTGCGCCCGCACCCCTAGTACGGCCGCACCCAGGAAGCGCCTCCCTGCGACCGCCTTTGTACGGTTACTATGTGGGCCTAGATGTCACACCCAATTTTAAAGACAAACCTAGGTTCGCCATATGTGTGCCTAGGAAGTCCACACATACAACAATAGAATGAATAGTATCAGAAACAATGTTATTAAATAACATATACATGGCTATATTAACACTTACATCAGAGTATCGTGGAACGGTAACTAATCTTCAGACTCTATTCTTCACAGAGATGACTGACTAGGGGTAACATACGCCTAGCACTCCTATCAATCTTCTAGGAACTCCTTTGTGTCCTCATCAATCTTCTGAGCAACTTTACTACAGACTAAGGTGTGAGGGAAATAGTAAGGGTGAGCACATGTCGTACTCAACAAATATAACATGGGGTTCATGAGGCTCAAAAGGTTAACACTAGTTTACTACGATTAGCTTTTAATGAGTCATAGTTTTAATCAATTGAGTAGCAACAAGTTTATCACAAGCCCACGTAAACACATGATCAGGTAATCATGAATAATGAAATAGCATAAACATTTAACCATTAATGATTTATCTATTCCATAAGAGTTCCAAGGTCGCTCGTGACCGTGAGCACGGCTGATATACCAGTTTTATACTCTGCAGAGGTTGTACACTTTCACCATGAGCAGTGATACCCATATGCTCGGGTTAATTACTCCCAAAACACTTTCAAGGTGAGCAGGCAGGGATCACTATGAAGTCTTTTAAAGGTTCGTCTAACAAGTTAGGGCCGCTAGGATTCCAATTGGCAAACAAATGTAGAGCTCCCCTTTCGAAAGGCACACTCACGCAGAAGTACTCTTAGGAACAGAGGCCGCACTATACCCGACTCGACAAGCCCCTCTTGTGCCATAAAGGTAACCACTAACAAGCTAGAAAAGGTCCTCATACTTGACTAAAGACAGAGCCATGTGGCACTCATAGTTGTACTATAAGTCCCGGTTGACCACTTATAGATAAGTCCTTAAGGAGAGAAATCTAGAGCACCATAATAACAACCCAATGCTCTAGCCCTCTTGAGCCATGTTGCTAAAAAGCATCTTTTAGTGTTTATTGCATATACCATTAGTCAAGTTACAAGATCATGGTTATTTAATTGAGTGCTAGCATCATACTACCCACATGCATAAACCCATAGGAATCAAGGTACAAGGTAACAAAATACTAGGAAAGCCTTAGTGGTAGTCAAGGTAGACACATGCAGCATGAATTAAATGATTAAAGGTGTATAGGACAACAAGGAAGATCCCGTGCTATACTTGCCTTTCACTTACTTTACAACTAATGATCAACTCCTCATAGAACCTTCAATCTTTTGTTCTTTCAGTCTCTTCTTTCGGACAGCTCTTCTTCTACTCGCAGATCGTAGCACATCAAGCACACATATAAGAAGACAACTAAGAGCAGTACAC